TATGTCTTCTTCAAAATGCGATCACAAATATATGGTATCTTGAAAAATATTTGAAGCGAGGGAAGGTTTACAGTTCAAAGAGCATCAATGGTAAATAAACAAACTGTTGTGAAATAACTGACTTGAAAGGTGAGAACAGACCTTGTAGAGAGTGAGGAACTGCATGGTGGCACCTTTAAGACTTTGCCTTCCCTTTCTTTCTGTCTCTAGCTGTTACAATAATCAGAAGCTAAATCCATTTTCATAAATACATCATGGTATCATGTGCAATGCATTCATTACAGTGAAATGACATACTCTTGAAGGAACTCAGACGAGAAATGAGAATTCTTAATGAGCTGATCCCTTTCATTCCACAAGTTCCAGCCATGATGGCTCTGAGCATTGCGGTGTGGCTGCAAGAGATCAGTACTGCACAAATGAGCTAGCAAGGCTGAAGATCTGGGTAAAATTTTACTTCAAGCCTTATTTTATTTATTTATTATTTATTACTCCACCAACAGCCTCCTGTTTAATTTTGTTCTCCCTGCAGGTAAAGCTTGAAATGCCCCACTGAATGGTGGAGTTGTACAATGATGGCATTCTGTAGCAAGTATGTTAAATGGGAAGCTTTCAGTGTGTATTGAGCTTTTCATGATAAAGGTATCTGATGCATCCAAAAACTGTTTTAGTTCTTCATCCTTCTTCAAGATAGTCTTACTGAACTTTGAAGAAAACTGTGTGATGTTTATTTTTTTGTCAAATTTCTGTGGTAATACTGCATGCTACTGCAGCAGGCAGTGAGGGGAATATTAAAACGTTTTTCCAGTCCACTGCCCAAAATCTCTAAATCCCAGAGGTATTGCCAGCTTTTGGCAGAGTAGAGGCTGGCGTGAAAAGCTATGGACATTCCACCTACAGCAACAGAGCTCTAGAAAAGGAATTTGAAGGCTGGAAACTGCACACGTGGAGGAGCAGATACGGGTCACCATACGGGTCCTCAGTCATTGGCTCCATCGTTGCTGTTTGTAGCAAGAGTCAGAGCCAAGCTCTCCATGATGCGTCTCCTTTTCCACATCCATCTTTGCTAACTCCTCTATGTTTCTCTTTCTACAGAGGGAACAGTGCACTTCTGCTTAACAATGTGGCACTGAGGGGATGTGGTTTAGTGAGCATAGTGGTGGTGGTTGGACTAGATGATTTTAGCAGTCTTTTCCAACCTTAATGATTCTCTGATCTCTTCCATAGGGCAGCAGATCTCACTTTTCCTGCTCTTGAAAAGACTTGGGAGTTGGCTCTGGCCAAAAGCCTGGCTTGCATTTACATTGCAGCCCTGTTTTGTTTGCTTGGCTTTCACGCTTCTATGACCCACCCACAACAACAGAGCAGTACCAGCCTGGTTATTAGGAACCATATTGTACAGCTGTATCCACATTTTTCAAGGTTTTATCACTTGTGGAATTCTTCCAAAGAAACATGGAAAAAAGAACAACAACAACAGAAAACCCACAAGCCACATGATAGGACCATGCATCAGTAGATCTAACCTTCATTGGAGTTTGTTGTTCAGTTTATGATTATTCTGTATCTGTATATATATATGTACAGGACAGATTATAAAATGTTCCCTTGACATCTCGATGACAATCTGGTTTGAAGTAAAAAAAGATTTTAATGGAAAAATATCCAAACACCTCTTGAAAACATCTTTGACTCTTGTCCAAAATCCCTTATTTCTGTTCCGTGGGGTAGAAAATGTTGCTATTTGCAGTTTTTGGATACCATAATCTGGTTGATTTCTTTTTATAACCAAAATAATTGTATGTCTGATTTGCCAAGAATTTAAAAAATTCCAGGCAGCTCTCAGTATTTATGTCACCATAGCACCAGTTGTCCTGGCAGGGGTTGGAGATTTTTACAGTGCATGCTGTACAAGCAAAGCCTTCAAAAAGGATCTGCGTTAGAACTTGATTCTTTATTTCTGCAACCCATTTCTGCCATTCATTTCATTCACAATGAGAAAATGATAGGTACTGAGACAGATACCACCACTCAATTAGTGAAGACTAGTATTAGATCACCAGCTGAAAGTACATCTTGTCCTGTTACACTAAGGTAAAGCTAACAGGATCTTTCTGCTGGGATTAGGTGCGGAGATAGGATGGTTCCTGACGATAGCTGCTGATATAAATATAACACTTCTGAAGTACAAATGTAGAAGCAGTGTGATTCCTTAGGAGAAGAACCACTGTCATGCAAAGTTGAACCAGTTGGTGGATGCTGGGGTAATGAGAGATGACAACATCTAGGCAGGAGATTAAATGTTTTGTTGAGGCAGTTCAATGTTAGATTCATAGCAAGCTTTGGAACTCTCTCCATTTATCCAGATCTTCCACAAGCTTCACTTTGAAAAAAGAAATATGCTACAAAAGTAGTACTTCAGCACCTCGATATCAGTGCAAGGGGGACCCAGCAAAAGGGCATGCTGATACCCCTCTTTGTCCCAGCTGGACTTCTCACCATCAGTCAATGAAATGACACAGATGAATTCCCTGGTGCCTGTAGAGTGCAAAATGTCATCATAGTGCTGTATTTTATCCGGTTGCTGTGGTTTGGTTCTCTCCCTTCAAGTCTTCTTAAAGATGCCAACCAGCACATGAAGGGCAAAATACCATCCCCTTTTCCCAAGTACCGTGGCCTAATTTCTGACATAGTGTTCTTGGCAACTTTCAGTGCCGGACTCCTTGTTTGGTATTACTGAAATCTTTCCATCTGAATTAATTTGGTTGATGTTTAACTTTGCCTCGTATGCTTAAGAAACAGCTGAGCAGAACGCTTGTTACCTTGGGCAACACAAAGCTGACTGCTGGTAATTTGGTTTTATTCGTTGGCAATTTGTTCCTAAACAGAACTAGACAAACAATTAGTAGGAGACAATTCATCCATTTAATTTATCCCTTTCATTTTTTTCCTTTCTATTTTCAGGTTCCTTTTTATACAATCTTGGATTAGATTCTCAGTTGGTCTAAATTGCTGATGGAACTATATAGATTAAACTCACCTAGACTAGACTTTCTGACTTTTACTAATACATTAATTGCCCAGAAAAGTTCAGTGTCCACAACAGCAAACATCTGTATCTATGAGCCGATCTCTTCCTTCCATTTTCAGCTGTGACTCTCCCTTATTTTCTCACGTTGCGTGTGAATGGTCAGTTAAATCATGCAGCATTGTTTCTGCTCCTGGCTGGATGTCTGCAGCTGCGCAAGCCAGAGGGCTGAATCTTCTGGTGCCAGTTGTAGTATATGCACATTTTTTGCATATTCCTTTTGTGCAGGAGCACATACCTGGTCTCCGGTCACATCCTTCCTGTAGAGATGCTATGGCATCAAGAAAATGTGATGCTCAGTTTTCCCTGATGAGATAGTGCAGAGGTGGCAACCCTTTGACTTGTCTGGGCTGCATTGGGTGAAGTGGGACTGTCTTGGGCTGCATATACATAAGGTTGCTCCAAAAGTAACGCCTCTTATTCATTCTCATAGAAACAGCAACAGACACAATGAGCATATTAACACTGTTTGATTGAGCAAATTCTCAGCTACAAAGTACTATTTTTTAACATAGTCGTCACCGTTAGTTTTGCATTTTTGCTGGTGATGAACAAGAGCCTGCGTGCTGCACTCACAACAACCTGTACCAGAGGAGGTGACCCACTGTCACTGTTACCACTGCTGAAGTGCACCACCCACCACCTCACTGTGCTCACATCCACTGTTTGCTCTCTACAAACATTCAATTAAGTGTTGATGAATGTCAATGAATGCCATTTTTTCCACACTGAGTAATTCAGTTCCACACATCCGTGTCAGATGCCATTGTGTCAGAGTGCCCCTCTGCTGCCATCTGTCACACAGCAACAAAACGTAATGGGGTATTGGTGGGAAGGTTCAACTTCTGCTGCCATTACCACCAACATCTGCCTCTGAATCATGGACCAACATCCTAAAGTAGGAGGCATTGCTTTTGGAGCAGCCCTCATAAAAGATATAATATAGTCAATGTATATAAAGTAACAAAACTTAGTTTAAATTTTAGTGCTTTTTATTAAAAATGTATACGAAAGAGAGCTATAAAAACACAGAACTGGTGGGTTATGTGACCCTGTTCTTGTGAAACCAATGCATCAGGCTGGTTCAATGTCTGTGGATGCAATTCTCAGTGAGCTCTCAGGGTGTTCAGTAGAGACTTTTGATGAAATTTTACTTCTCCTGTACTTCATCCTTCAATATAGTTGTTCACAACGTATGTACAGCCAAAAGTGATGACACAAATAAGGCGCAGTTGTGAAGTGAGGGATACGTCTCTCTGGCAAGAGAGGTCTTACAAAAGTCTGGTAAAGAGACATGGTCAGATTTTTAATTGCAACTCCATACATTCAGTTTGAAAATTCACAAGTAAGATATTTATATTGACTGAAAATGGAGTCACAAATAAACTTAAAAATTGATGATTTTTTTGTCAATCTTGAAACCTATTCTCAAATTCCATTAAGAAAACAGAAAGCAGGACTTCATTTTCTTTGCTGTTCACAGGACTGTTTTTAGCCAGTGTATCAAAGTCCATAAACTTATGTGCTGTTGCTTGATCTGGCACTGCACTGCACCCCATGCCCTGGATTCAGCCCAGATGAGGTTAATAGTGCACCGATGTCCACTGGTGCTGAGGGGCTGGACTCCTGGACAGGAAGAGCTGCCATTCCCCTTCTCCTCACGCACAGCAGCCATTGCTTGCTCAATAGAACACAAAGAAATAGAAATGAAGCTGGAGAAAATCTCAACTTCAACTGTTCAACTAAACCCTATTTATTAAAAATAAATGAGAAAAAAAATATTAAAAGTTTACTTACCGAAATTCTCTAAATCTCCTTCAGAACTGCCAGTCATTAACCATTTACCTGGGACTTAACAACACTATTTACTAATCAATAGTGAGAACCATGGTAACCTTGGCTCTATAGAGAGGTATGCTAAAGAAACACCAGAGAATCATGTCAAAGAAACACCAATTCCTAATCTTTCATACCTGGTTCTTTTCTGCAAGATTTCAGAGAAAGGTAAATTTTCTGTTTTCCATATTAATAATCTCCTTTAAAGAGTAAATTTGCTTTTCACCACCATATTTTTTTTTTTTTTATTTTTTCCCTTTTTCTTTTAACAGCTGTGGTGTGGCAGGACGGGCACAGTACAGATGGAGCAGAAGAATGATGCAAGGTGCGGTGACTGTAGGGTCATTGGGCTGCACCTGTATCTCTGTAGCATTATGGCCTAGGAATCCAACCTAGTACAGCATAAAAACACTACATTTATTCTTCCAGGAGTCTATAGGTTCTCCTCCAACCCATTTATTTCTAGGAAGAAAGTATAAAAATAAAAGATCAGGCTGTCTGCCCCACTAGTAAAGCCTCTACTGTAGGTTTAGGGTTGTCATTCAGCATTGGAAATGGCTTTAGAGGCATTTGCTTTTATTTCAACGAAAATTTCTGTGTAAAACAGCTGCTTATCATTGTGTCTCTGAGTCACATACCAGTTTTCATTAACTGAGAGTTTTGATGGAAAATTTTCAACCAGCCTTAATCATACCTACCAGCAGGTCTATAAGGATCTGCCTGAGAGTTTGTGCCAGACCGTCATTTTAATACCAGGAAACTGACTGAAATGCTAACTAAAAATAGAATAATAAAATGTTCAAGTACAAGTGCTGTAAGGACTGGGCAGAAAGGCTTTTGCAAAGAAAATCATGGCTTAGTAGTCTATCTAAAATTCCATCAGCATATTAATGAAGTGAGAGCTGAAGCAGGACTGGGTGATGTCATTTGTTTGGCGGTCCAAGAACCATTTGACAAAATCCTTCATGATTTTACCATTAAAATTACAGGCAATTGGAAGAATGCCAGCTGAAGGGTATTTTGACTGAAATTACAAAGGCTTAACTGAGATTAATTGCTTGAATTTCCCAATTGTCTTAGGTGAAATGCAATTATGAAAGCAATAGGTTGAATCTTGCTCCCAGGTTTGTCAAGAAAGTGGATGGCTGGTAAAAGGCCACCTTACGGGAGTTTCTGGTCCCTCTCTGATGCCCTGGCAGGAAGTGTGCTCACCTAGGCTATAGGGGAGGGGAAGATGTGAATGGGAAGAAACTGCTGATCAGGCACAGAGTTCTGGGAGTTTCTTCCTCCATCCCTGTTTAGGAGGAGGTGTCTGATGAGGCAGAAAGAAACCTGATCTTTAAATGCAGATGAACAGAACATTTCAGTGACAGCTGAAATGGAGGGGAGGTCAGTGGGGATGCTGTATCACCTGACACATCTGCTGCTGATAGACCTGCTAGGAGATGGAGAGTTGTGAGCAAGGTTTGAACCCTTAGGCTTTACTAAGGAGTAGCAAATACAGCATGGAAGCTTGATGAGGTCCAACAGGGTGGGAGGCAGGTAAAATTACTGCAGATGAAGTTGTCAAGTAAACTCTATCTTAAGACTTTAAGAAGAAATTGTAAAATGGGCTTAACAGTGCTCTTTCTCACAAATGTGGTGAGCCTGTGGAAATTGCTGCCTCCATCTATGGCTGGGCTTGAATGGTGTCAAAACATGTCTGCGAATAATAACATGCCATTACAAATCCAAGTCTTACTGGGACACAAGTAACTCCTTTTAGGAATGTGGTTTAGTAGAGAAAATTGGCTGCAGGTGGGTGGCTGGGCTAGATGATCATAGAGGTTTTTTCCAACCTTAATGATTGTATGATTCTCCCATGTGTCTGAGCGGGGTGACTTTGTATCATAAAATAACCTCTCAGAAATGGAAATAGGGAAGAAAATTTAATTCTGTCTTAATTCCTGCAACTTTTCTTTTTGGTATCTGGGTGCTGACAGCAACCTTCAGAATCTAGCCCGAGGGAGCTACAGCTGAAGTTTTGATTCATCAGGGAAATGATCAGTGTTTGTGGGCTGGTATTTGCTTATTGAGGTGTGTAGCCATTTCCCACAAGCCCACTATCAACTATCCCTATGGGCTGAGTGTAAATGGTAGAAAATGCTAAAGTGAAGCCTATCAAGACTGAGGTGCTTATCTATACCTGACTTTTGGTAACTCAAGGAGCATACAGACCCATGTAGAAGGAAATGCCATGTACAAGTGTGACATGCAGGTACCTGCCATTTGAGCCAGCTGGAAGAAAGACCTAGAAATGGTTACTGATTGTATGCTGCCACAGTAGTGGGGCATAAAAATAACATTTTTTAATCTCTCCATGTGTTTACATGGGAAAAATGGATACTCACCTCCACCCTAAATGGATTTATCAGAGAAATGTCTCAAAGCCCAATCTCAAACTACATGTAACCTAAGGTTAGGGTGGATGTAAGCGAGGCAGGTGAAGGGGAAAAAATGATAACAGGTTTCGTAGCTCCCTGGAAAATGGCCTAGTAAAAGCCCAGCAAGGCCTAGAGTTGGTCAAGAGGTCTACCAAATTCTTGAGAGGCCCTTGCTTGGCCCAAACACTGAGCTTCAAAGGCAGGATCTTTGCTCTGAATGTGGACAGTCTTCCACTGCTAGTTTAGGCAGTTCCCTTGCAGTTTGGTCATCTTGTTCTCTAGCTCCTAACTCTCCGCCTTCATTGAACAGAGGAGCCCCAGTTCCTGACCTAATGGAAAAATGTCAAGCTGTGAAGCTATGTGAAGCTTCAGCTTCAGATATAACACAAAAATAACTTTTTCTCTGATCCAGTAACTGAAGAGTTACTTTCTCGCCTTCCCAGTTAGCTAGCTGATTAACATGGGTAACATTTTTTGGAATTAAGTTCTAAATGTTGGTCTGTTCATTCATAATGTAGCTCATTTTGCTGCCAAACGTAGCTAGAGATGTATGGCAATGATCTGGATGTCTAGAAAATCTTGATTCTTTTTTTCTTTAAAAGAAAGAAAACAAGTATTTGTGAGTTTTAAATGAGCACATACAAGTAGCAGTGTTTTTGCAATGTTACAATGAAAAATCATACTTTTGATAGAAGTGGTTGTTCTTATATATATTTTTTTTTTCAACCAGTCCTAATTAGCCTATCAACAAGGATGAGCTAATTATCAGAAGTCATTTCATCCTACAAAAGTAGGATAAGAAAATAAATTAGCAGTGCCACCGAAATTAATGTAACAGGGGAATTTGATAGAGGAAAAGTCTGGAAGAACATTTTATTATGTCAGTAAGCCAGGAATCTTGATAATACATATTTTTTTTTTTTTTTGAGATTTTAGATATTTAACAACAGTGTGAACTTTTATTACTTTTAATGTGTTGTGCTTAGACTTTTGCCAGAGAGTGAATCTGATCCCTCAGCTCAAGCTAAAATACTTATCTCCCACAGCACTCAGTTCTCCAGTAGCTCACTTTACCACTTACTGCTGAATTAAAAGCAAACTGCAGTGTGAACTATGCTCATAGATCAATGTACTCAGACTGGATATGTTATGACATTTCTGAATATTTAGCCCTTATATATGTGAATTCAAAGTACAGGTTTTACATAATTAGATGTAATTATTTTCTCTCTACCTGGTACCTGCTGTTTCCAGTGCTCTGCTATCTGTAGGACATTGGTGAGGATAACTCACCCTTGGCTGTAATTTATAACAGAATATGGAACAAAAGTATGTCTGGATATGTGATTGAACTGTGTTTGGTAAGTAAAAAAGCAATAACAACAACGAAGTGTATCAATCAGAGAACTGACTGAAATTATATGTCATTAATTTGGATTTTAAATGATGGTAGCTTCCATAAATGCAAGGTCTATGCTGCAGAGAGACATATAGAAACACCTGAATTCAACTCTGTTACTCGAAGATGCAAATACAGTCATCAAGATATAGCTGCATACTTTTTTTAACCTACTTTTTCAAGAAGGCACAGATTTGGGGGAAAAGATTGTCTTCTTGTTTCATTTCTTTCATTTCTAGAAAGCTAGAATGTTTAACTTTCCAACTTGCAGCCCTTTTGCATGGCAGTGATCTGCAAGATGAACAGAGATGAAATAGTTTATCACTGTGTCCTTGTTATAAAAATTCAAAAGCATGGGGAAAAGTAAAAAGAGTGAAATACTGCAAAAGAGTGAAAACAAAACACCCACAAAACAACAGCATTAAAGCTCAAGAAATAGATGATGTCCCTGTCTCTAATTTTGAGAGAAGTGGAATTGATGGATGAACCAGGGCATGAATAAGGAATTAGCTGGACGGTCTCACTCAAAGAGTTACAGACATGGCTTGATATCCGAATGGGGGCCAGTAATGAATGATATTGGGATTGGCACTATTCAACTTCTTTGTTGTGACATGGATGGTGGGATTGAGTGCACTCATTAGCAAGTTTGCTGACACCCGGCTGTGTAGCACTGTCGATATGCTGGAAGGAAGGGATACTGTCCGGAAGGACCTTGACAGGACTATGAGTTGGGGCTGTGTGAACCTCATGAAGTTCAACATGGCCAAAGATAGGGTCTTGCACCTGAGTTGTGTCAATCCCAAGCTCAAATACGGTACGGGTGGAGAATGAATTGAGAGTAGCTCTGAGGGGAAGAACTTTGTATTGAGAAGCTCAGCATGAACTGGTAACATGCAATTGCATCCCAGAAGGCCAACCATATCCTGGACTGCCTCAAAAGAAGTATGGTCAGTCAGCAGGGAGAGGGAGGTGATTCTTCCCTTCTGCTCCACTCTTGTGAGACCCCTCCTGTAGTACTGCATTCAGCTCTGGGGCCCCCAGTGTAAGAAGGACATGACCTGTGGGATCAAGTCTGGAGGAGGGCACAAAGATGCTCAGAGGGCTGGAACACCTCTCCTACAGAGAGAGGCTATGGGTGCTGGGCTTGTTCAGCCTGGAGAAGAGGAAGCTCTCCCAGGAGACTTTATTGTGGCTTTCCAATATCTAAATGGCAGCTTCAGGAAATATAGGGAGGGCTATCAAGGGATATAGTGAGAGGACAGGGAGTAAGTAACAATTTTAAACTAAAAGAGGGAAATTTAGGTTGGATACAAGGAAAACGTTCTTAACCATGAGAGTGATGAGGCCCTGGCACAGGCTGCCCAGAGAAGCTGTGGATGCCCCATCCCTGGAAGTGTTCAAGGCCAGGTAAGGTGGGCAACCTCATATAGAGATATGTGTCCTTTCTCATTGCAGAAGGCTTGGAGCTAAAAGTTCTTCAAGGTTCCCTAACCCAAACCA